GGCGGGAGGGCCGCCTGGGGAAGGCGGAAGCGGTCGATCTCGCCGAGCGGTGAGGCCTCGGGGTCGTCACCCAGCGACGAGGTCGGGGAGGGGACCAGGAGGAGGTGGCTTTCATCCCAGACATCCAACTCTCCGAGGATGACCTTGCTGATCGGGTAGACGAACCGCACGAGGGCGTTTTCGGGGTAATGGGGGGTCGCAGGGCGGCGGAGGAACCACTCCCCGAGGGTCTCGTTGATCGGGATCTCAAACGTCGTCAGACGCGTCAGCAACTCATGGAGATGGAATATGGTGTGAAGATCGTGGAGGAGGCTGCTGTGGACGGACTCCAACCACACCACGGGAGCCAAGGGCAGGGAAAACCACGGCGGTGATTCGTCGTGCGTGGGATGGCTGAAACCGTGGGAGGGCATTTTCACACCACTCCTCATCCCCGAGGATGGACTATCCCCCCACAACACCAAAAACGGAGTCACGCAATAGAGAAACTGCGATCTCGCGGCGGCGGTTTGATCGGAAAATGGCTGTGGATCCTCCCCCGTGGCTTCGTCGGCGCACGGTTCCACCCCACATGCGAAGGACGCGTCTGGATCCCGCTTCCCCTTCCCCACGGAGCCGTCCAGAGTAGGCATGGGTTCGAGAAGCAAGGAGATGTACGCCAACGCGCTCAGCGTCTGCTCCACGGAGATGAGAAGCCGCGTGTTGGAAGGCTTTGTCGAACCCTTCGCGGAGCCCTTGCCCGCGTGCCCGTCCTCGGGGGTGGAGTGGTTCTTGAAGCAGCGCATTCGTTTGCCGTCATACACAGCGCGGAGCAACTTCGCCGCCTCCGCGAGCACGCGCGCCAACACCGGAGAGGAAAACGGCCCGTTAGCGCTGGCGGTGCTCGCGCCCGTGGCTTTTCGTTCGTCCCTCTCCTCATCGCCGAGGCCCTTTTCGGGATTGAGGACCCCCCCAAGGAAGAGCGGCCCCCCCCCAACCGCGCGTTGGCAGCGGTGAAAACCCTTCGTCATCTCCTGCAGCACGCATACCAGGGTGAGGTTCGCGAGCAGCAGCGTCGCGCGTTCGTAGATGTGATACCGCAGCTGGCGACTGCTCTCCAGACGATTTAAGACCGGGGGGGAGGCGGAGAGGCGCCCTTTATGGCTCCCTTTCCGACAAGACTTCGAGGAGGAGCAGGTCACCCGATCCAACCCTGGGGAGTTCCCCACGAGATCGAGGTCGGGGAAGGATTCAGAGACAACCCCCTGATGGTTCCCCTCGCTCCGGCGCTCCTCGGAGGGGCTTCGGAGGGAAAAGAAGACCCCCTCGTCGGACCCGCTCGCCGACATTCCCTCTTCCAGATCGGAGGGGCTGTGCCTTTCACTCGTCGCGTGGGTGGGGCGATCGATGCGTTCGCGCCCCCCACCACCCTCCTCCTCCGTCGCGTACGCCTCTCCCTCGTCGTCGTCGTCGTCTTCGAAGCCAGCCGAGATGGCGTCGCTCGTCTCGCCGCCCGTGCGAACGGAGAGGGTCGCTCCTTCCTCCTCCTCCTCCCCCTCTGCCATCGAATCCGCCGTATTGCCGGCGAGGAAGGAGATCGAATCGGACGTGGCCGAGCTCACAGAGTGCTCCGCCGCCGTCGTGCCGTGGCCGCCCGAGATGAAGGAGTTGTGAGAATCGCGATACTCCGGCGTCAGGCTTTTCTCCTCCGCCTCGTCGTCGGGCGTGGCGAGCATCCCATTTCGATCTCCCTTTTCTGCGCCTCCAGCACTTCCATTCATCGCGGCTCCTTGGATGGAATCGCTCTGGCTGCGCTCCCCTGCAAAAGCGGCCTCCACGGCCCGCTCGATCTCTGACAACCAGGCGAAGGTGAACGGAAAACGCTCCGCGACGAGGCGATCCCCGACATCCGCCGCCGGATCCACGCGCGGGCGAAAAGGGGAGATGTCATCCGGCGAGAAAATCCCCCGCCGCAGCTCCTGATAGCACAACCTCGCACTGACGCGCGGGGAGGGCAGGGTGAGATCAGGAAGACGAGAGGCTGGCGGCCGTGAAAAAGGGATCGCCGGCCCCTCCTCTCCGGAATCCGGAACGACCCCCCACTCGAGGGCCTCGCGCGAGGCCGGTGGGGGGTGAAACGACCTCGGCGGGAAGCTCCACTTCTCCAGGACCTTCGCCGAGAACCCCTCCGGATCGCTCGCCTCGGCGGCGGGGGGGGCCGGGGTGTCGACCTCGCCCAGCTCCGCCCGCATCCCGGGAGTGAGGGGGATGCCGTCGTACTGCAGCTGACGGAGCACCAAATCGTCGACGGTCTGGCGGAGGCCGCCGTCGTCGTCCGCGGGGGGGATCGAAACGTCGGGAAGGAAACCCCTCGCCTCCCTAACTCGCGTAGACGGCGGCCCCTCCGGCTTCCCCAGCCGCTCCGTGAGGATATCCAAATCCAAATGCTTGATCCTCGATTTACCAGGCGAGGAGTCGCCGCCCGCGGAAGTCTGAGGGGGGGAGTTAGGGGTTTCCCATTTCACATATTTCGAAAAGAAGCGCTTTACGCCTTCGCTGCAGGCCATCCCAGTGAGGAGCCGCGCGGCGTGTTCGGTTTCCCGTTCGGCGACCGCCATCGCGGCGGCAGCCCCCCCTCCCCCGCCTCCGTTCACTGGCGCGCCATTCAGCCCCCCCCCACCGGGCGATATCGGCAGAATGGAGGGAGTTTGCGGAAATAACGCGGGGCTGTCGGCGACGTGCATTTCAGGGGAGGAACTCCCCCCTAGCGGAGCCCCCCCTCCACGCCCTGCCGCGTCCTGACGGGAGGGCGAAACCGACGACGCCCCGCGAAGCGGCGTCGTGCTCGTTAGGCTGCTGTACTGCGGATACCACGAGCTCAAGGCCTGCACCAGCTGCGGCTCGCGATCCGCCAGGACGTGGATCTCCTCCGAGAGCACCCCTAGACGCAGTTGAAGCTCGTTCAGGGCCTTTTGCAGCCTCGCCTCGCAGAGCTCCGTCGCGTGTTGGAGGTGGGTAATCCGCCGCGTGATGGCGCTCTCCGATCCTTCCCTTCTCTCGGTCTTTACAGGAGGGTGATCAGAACCGCTGTTGTGGTGGAGCTGCTCGCAAGACCGATCAAACTGGCTGCTCAGCTCCGAAAGGGCACCTCCAAGTAGAGCCTTGGCACCATCCTGAACTAGGACCATTTCCGATACCGGAAGATATGGGGTGAATACAGTGTTA